GGAAATACCAATGTCAAAATCTACGAAATAAAAACAAATGGGGAACTTATTATTCATAAACTAGGTCAAGTTTTAGAGGAAGGAGATAATTTTGTTGTCGTTATCGAAAAAGGTTCGTGATTCAGTGCCGAACTTGGTAATCAAGTTCATGATAAATTCGCACTAGTTGGTTGCACGGTAACTCCTGGTTTTGATTACAAAGATTTTGAATTAATTAGCTCAAAAAGTCTTTCCGAACAATTTCCTCAACATCTAGAAGTTATAAAAAAATTAACTCGCGAGTAGATTATTTTCGTTTATCAATCACTTGTGGGAGAAAATGTTATGAAAATACTATCGCAAATTCTTTATAAAAATTTAGGAATTTCATCACTTCCTTTAAAATTATAATATATACTTAATTACCTAGTAGTTAGAGTTTAAATTTAATAATGGTTATTATAAAAACAAAATTTTAACTGATTAATTGTTGTTTGTCCTAGACTCCAATAGAGCCAGTTCTCTCCTATTTTTTTAGGATTATTTGAACTTGTTTGTGGTAATTCTTCACTCATAATATTAATTCATAGATGTTATTTTTGCCTTAGTCTTTCTTTAATAAAATTTTACTAAAATTATAATAAGAAAAAAAGTTATTCATGGCAAAACTACCTAAAAACCACCCAATAATTGTTGAACTAACAAAAAAGGTAGAATATGCCCAAAAGTATGCCAAAGAGGAGAGCAGAGAAATGAAAAGAAAAATGGGCATCCAACTTAAAAAAATCTTTGACCAACAACTGGCTAAACATAAAGACAAAACCGAAAAACTGCTTCAAGAATTAAGAATTATCGCCTCTCAAAAAAAGAATCATGGTAAATAGTAGTGAAAAAACTATTGAAAAACTTAGAATACTTAATAACCACTTACTAAAGATTATTAGTGAATGTATTCGTTGCGATAATAGGTTAAAAACTGTAAAAGAGGGAGATGAAATAGAATTTGTTCCTGGAATAAGAGTTGATTGTTGTTCTCT